GCCAATACAAAGTCCCAATTTAATACTTTGAAAATACATTTAAAAAATGAAAAACGTCATATTTTTTCAATTTTATCACTCTGATTTATAATTTAAGACAGAAATTTTTTTTTGAGCAACATGAAAAACTATATTACATTATGTTTATGTAACCGGTGTATATTACTAGTGTTCTTTTACCAATAATCTAGTCTTATACAGACGGTTAACCTCGATGTATTCTGCGTTGTGTTCAGACCAAGAAGGGACTCAGACCACTGGAGTTGCTGGTTGTTGTTTAATGCAGGTTGCTGGCAGAGGCCTGCACAAATAGAAATACAGAAAGCCCTTTAGAATGCAGCTCTTCCACACACAGAAGTCGGAATTCCCCTCTCCTCAGGCAGCCTAGCGCCAACTCAGGGTACCATAGTATTGTTCCCAGAAATAAATTCACAATAATACAAAAATAAAAAAATAAAAAAAGGAAACTGAGATAATTACATAACCCAAATGTTTTGTGTACTTAATACAACCAGCTTAAACATTGTAGAACAAAAGAACCAAATACACATACCTGCACAAATAGAAATACAAAAAGCCCTTTAGCATGCAGCTCTTCCACACACAGGAGTCGGAATTCCCCTAGCAGATAAGCACATGGAGAAACCCTGTGACTAACTAATAACAATATAAGCTCTAATATTTACAACAAAATTTTCTTAACTTGTCAAAAGAAATGTATGTATTAAAACATAAACATTCACAGCTGCATGTGCTTTCAATTATTTTACAAATATCAAAAAAACCATGAACTTAACCAAGAGCAAAGAAACTTTCCTACCTCTCCTCAGGCAGCCTAGCGCCAACTGAGGGTAGTACAGTAATGATGTCATAGAACACTCTCTTAAAGCAACAGTACAGGTAGTAGTGTTTACCAAAATAAATAAAATAATACAATCCTTAAAATATAACAAAAAAATGGGATTCTTCAGTATTAATCAGGATTTGGTGAAATTTCAAACATTATAAAAATAAATAAAAGCACATTTTCTAAACTTGTTACACAAGCAATTCAGTGGCTAATGCTAGCTAGTGGCTAATGCTAGCT